CCCAATAACTTGGTTCCTTTGAATCAGCTGTTTGCTTTCCCCCACCTGCTTGGGCCCAGCCATCCATGAAAGCCATTCAGTCAGACCTTTAGGTCTCGTTTCAACACTTTCAACTCAGAAAAAGAGCTTCTTTAACCCCTTATAAAAGAGCACTGGATGAAGCACTGAGTGGTTCATGGGTGAATTCTTCCCAGTCCAGGTCTCTAGACCTGGGGCAGAGCTGTGTGTGTCCTCCAGAGCCTGCCAGGTAGCCCACCCCAGCACCTACCTCATCTGTGAACCTCTGGAACATGTGAAGGGGCTGGAAATGCAGATGCAAAGCTGCAGGATCTCCAGGACACAGGGCAACAATGGGACATCCAAGAGCAGTCCCAGTGAGGGCCCAGCATCAATAGTGTAGCAGAAGCCAGAGGCCTGGGGCCAGAGCAGTGACTCACTGGGATGAACGCTTGTAAGTAACGATGTGTCAACTAAAGGGTTAACTGTGTGACTCACTAGCCCACGCTACAGCTTCCGTGCCAAGAGTGTATTTACTTATTTACTTGTTGTTGTTTTGTCTGCTTGTTTGCTTTTAATGTTGTTGGGTGGGGAGGTTGCAAGGGCAGAGGGCGGAAGCCAGGGGATGGAGAGGGGAGTGGGGTCGGGATGCATGAGGTGAAATCCACAAAGAACCAGTACAAAGTTAAAAAACCAAAAAAGGAACAGTAGGAGTTTCCTGAGCACGAACTACACCCTTCCACTCCCTCAGCACATGTTCTCACAATGTATTTTTTAACCGTAAGAGCTGGTATTTTTTTTTAATTATTTGTGGAAAATTAAATAAATTAAATTCCAGGAGGGTAATAATGTTGCCTGCCACCAAAACTTGACTCCGAATAAATGCTAAGAACTAAAAAGAATGAATGAGCAGATAGATAGGAAACACACCGAAGATTAGATCGTATGGTGCGTGGACAGGAGCAAGGAAGATACTTCTCCAACTAAACTGAGTGGTCCCCTTCTTGAAGGTGTTGGCTGTTGAAGAAATTATTTTATCCAAAAAGTGAATACACAGAGCCTATACAGGTAACTCAACAGAGAACCCAACTAATATGAAAATTCTTTGCTGCTGGAAAGGAATGAAGTCCATGGCTACCGAGCCTCTTAACGGGTTGTACTGTGGTCTGAAGGTGAAATGCCCCGCAGGCTCATGTGCTTTCACGATTTTCATGCTGGCTCCCTAGTTGATGCTGTAATTTGGGAAAGATATGGAGCTCTAGATGGTGGAACCTTGCCGGGAGGAGGGGGTGGAAAGAGTTCATCAATTGGGGAGGATTTGGAGCTTGATAGACAGGCCATACCTCCTGCTTGTTCCCTGATCCTGGACTGCCAAAGCAATGCTGTGGTTGACCCCATGTTCCTTCATGCCTTCTAGAACTAGGGGTCAAAATAATGCCCTTTCTCCCCCTAATTGCTTCTGTCAGGGCATTTTGTCATAGCAACAGAAAGGAAACTAATACAGACTGTGAAAAAAGTCACACTGAAGGTTAATTGTATGAGTCACATCGCTAGTACAGGCTCTGTTGCCAATCTTCTTTGAGGTCACTTAATCGCTCTGTGACCACTAACCTAGGCTAGAGCTCCCATTTCAAATAACAGTTATATCAAATAAGACCCGGAGACCTTATCAAACCCACCTTGGCTGCAAAAAAACTGATTCATCCAATGAAAATTGTTTGTTTGTAAAAGGGGCAGCAATTCTGCTATTCTGCCTTGGTTTGTCATTCGTAGACTAAAATGAAAAAAAAAAAAAAAAACGTTTCTGAATGTCTCGTGTGACATAGAGTTGTCTGTAGATGGCAGGTATAGTCTATAGCATGAATGTTGAGCACGGGACTGTCATGAATTTGTCTAGACCGCAGCTCTTTTGAAAGTAAAGTGTCTTTGTATACGTGTGTGTGTGCGCGTGTGTGCGTGTGTATGTGGGGATGTGCACATGCTCAGTAAAGTGTGTGCTCTGGGCTTGGCATATGTAACTGCTTTGAAAACCAGTTGTCCTTTGTCACGTGCAGTCTTTACCCTGCCTGCCCTGTGAATGCTCACTCTCCTCCCTGGAGCAGTAAGCGGGGGTGTCGCTTTGCTTATTACCAAAACCAATTTCCAGAATGGGTAATTGTGTTCTGACTCATGCAATTCCCCTGCATTTCCTGGCTGTTTCCAGTGACTTATGTCTTCCTCTTGGCCCCTTAATGGATATGTAATGAAGCAACATATTTCAAAGTCATGGCTGTGCTTCAGACTTCCCTTAAGTAATGTCTCAGTGGAGGGCCAGCCTAAAGCCTGGCACATGAATACCCTACCTGGGTCCCCACGGCAAGACGCTGTGTTAAAAAGACAAATACTTTCAAGCTGGAGGTGACTTCTGGAGGCTGAAAGCTTTCAAGTGTCAGTCGGTGTTTCAGATGAAGTGAGAGAACCCATCTGATTTGTCCCGAGTCTTACTTCTGCCAGTTTTAGCCACAAACTTGCTTGTATGATTTTAATCCTTTTCACCCTCAGTTTCCAACTTTAAAAATTGTTGATGATGCTGACATCTCCAGGGCTTTTATGAGGATCAAACGGGCATGCCATCTGAAAGTGCTAAGCCCTGAATGTGGCTTATGGGGAGGTTCAGTATGTACCGCCTCCCAGTCTGATCATTTTTTTTTTTTTTTTTTTTTTTTTTGATGCCGTCCATCAGGAAGTCATTGCCAAGTGACTCAAGTCTCCCTGGGAGCTAGAGAGATAGGTATTACAACAACAGCAAATCAGGTCGAGCTTCAAGTCCCATGTGGGGCGGCCTGGGGAAAGGAATGATGAACTCACACGGAGGTCGGGGCAGTCTTCCCAGGAGGAAGTGGACTTCCAGGACAAATCTGTGCGTGAATTTAGTCTTCTGCTCATAGAGCCTATGTATTGAGGGACAAGATCTACATCATAAAATCTCCAATAGGGGCAGTGAGGGAATAAAGAGATTGCACACTGACACACTGACACACAGACACACAGACACACATACAGAGTAGGATCAGGTAGTGGTTCTGGCTACCTTGACAGCCTGAACCTCATTGGTCTATTATTAGCCATAGCATGGGGATGGGGAGGTTGGGAAGCAAGCAGTCTCAGATTGTGACCATATGGAGGGAGGAAACCGCAGTTGTGAGTCTTTGCACACAAGTCACTCCTTCGTAAACACTCATATTAGAACCCCTGAGAACTATGGCAATCCCCTAGAGCCTGGCCCGTATGGGGAACTGACTTTGTAAGTTCCCATGAGTCTGAAGCCTTGGAGTTCCAGACATGGTTGTGCCCATGTCAGTGATGTACATTCACTGGGGACTTCCTCGGCTCCTTACAGACAAGCTGTTGTATTAGACCTGGGAAACACGATGAGCATCACTACAGTGACTGCCATATGGAACTGACCCTCCTTAGGCAAGGGAAGAGCTAAACCATTCACACATGTAGCCAGTGGAGGGTCAAGAGGGAAGCCAGGGAAGTTACATATTGTATAGCTTCGGAAAGTTTGAACGTTGGGGTGGTGTTTCCAGGAGGGAATTGGTGAACAACTGAGATCTAAATTAAGATTTTGGGGTGATTGGAGGTCACTAGGTGGAGAGGAGGTAAGGCACTGAGCCTTGAAAGCCACGTGGTATGTTCTTGAACAGAGTGGAGTCCAGTTTAGGTAGGCCATAGAAATCTTGGTGACAGGGAGAGTTAGCTGTGGCGGTCATTTGCATACAAGGATTTGGGTTTTCATGGCAGCTGTAACTAGACATCTTGGAGGTATTAAGTTTCTTGCACAAAACTGCCAGAATCAGACCTCGAGGTTGCAAAGATCACTTGCTGTTTGCATAGTGAATTCCTGGGGTTTAGGGTGGAAGTAAAGAGACAAATAAATAATTACAGAAATAATTATACAAAGATGTCAGTGGCTTAGATGGGGTTCTGGCACAAAAATAAACACACACCCCGAATCAGCCATTGCATGTATGTATTGAGTGCTAAGGGCTTGTTGCAGATGGGGGGGTAAGCCATGTCCTGCAGAGTCCCTGGAGATGCTGGTTATGGCAGGCCTCTGAGGAGCACCACACGGCGTTCCGTGCTGATAAATTTGCATGTATACCATAAGAAGGGCCACTGGAGGTTAAGAAGCCGGGAAATGAAATGATCAGATTAATGTGCCCATGGAGGGTGTTTATTTCTCTTCCTGGATATTTCTTAAGCTAGGCATTTATTGAATTTAGGGTAATGGATGGGAGAGGTGGGCCAGTGTCACTGCAGGCCAAGATTGATGGGAGGCTTATTCTTTTGTATAACATTTAAGGGGGTGTTAAGGGGAGTTTAAGCTTGCCACTGTGAAAGGCTTATTTATCTTGTAAATAAATACTTACCAGGAAACCGTGAAAGCCGTCCCCCTGGCAGGCCCCTCTAGGGTGACAGGACCTCATCCCAGCATGGGATGGTAGAAGGAGGAAGCACCTTGAGTTAACATCCTCTATGGCAGTGGAGGGATTTATGTAAGTGCCAGTAGCTAAGACTGTGAGCGAGGGAGGGGCACAGTGCATAAGGGGACAACTTTGCTACTGACGTGAGCTGGGTGGTACTGTGCAGGGTTCTCATATCCTAAAACTAAGACCCATAGTCACTGAGGAGCTCAAAGTGAGTCAGAGAGGCTGAACCCGAGGCTGTGATGGGGTTGCAGAGTTGCAATGTGTGGCTTGACTCTTGAACATGGGGGTGACTTTTTCTTTGAGATTCCAGATCCTCTGATGTGATCATTTAGTGATGGACTGGACCACATTTCCTTGTTTCCCATCCTCCTAATTCATGCTTAGCCTTCATATCTGCAGATCTGTTCTGCGAAGTAAGGCTCACAGCCGATGAGCTCGCCGCACTCTGGGTCTCCTCTCTGGGGTTGTAGATGGGAAGTTCAGAGCCTGTGACCGGACTTCCAAATCTTGAATTTTTTTTTCCTTCAGGTTACAGAACTCAACAATGTGAAAAATGTAGCCCGATTGCCGAAGAGCACCAAGAAACATGCTATAGGGATTTATTTCAATGATGACACATCGAAGACCTTTGCCTGTGAATCAGGTCTGTTGCAGCCAAGTGGGGGAGGGGCCTTTGTCCTTTGGCGTGTATATGCGTATGCATGCATGTGTATGGATATATGAATTCCTCTTTTGTTGTTTTTGCCGTTGTGTCCACAGATCTGGAGGCAGATGAGTGGTGTAAAGTTCTCCAGATGGAGTGCGTGGGGACCAGAATCAACGACATCAGCCTCGGGGAGCCTGACTTACTGGCTACTGGGGTGGAACGAGAGCAGAGTGGTACGTGTGCCAAGTCCGGCCTTTCCTCTCTTGCGCGTGAGCTGCTTTGCTCCCTTGTGATAATACACAATTATGTGTAATTGTGAATTATACAAATGAGTGAAGAGATGAGTTCCAATAGTAACCAAATGTTAACACTGCAGTGAATGTTTTCCTTAGAAGTTCTGTGATGTGTAATGGGAAAGTATCCACGTTAATGGTTTTGAGGACCACACTGTGTGTCTGGTGAATGGAAGGTGACTTATAAATATCCAAGTGTTACGTTTGCACAGGAGCCCCACCCCATATGTGTTAGGACTTCCCGAATTTTATAGATGGGGAGCCTGAACCTCAGAGAGCAAAACGGCTTATTCCAAATGTCGTAAGTAGTTAGTGTTTGAGTCCAGACTATGATCATGGGTCTCCATTTACAATGCATGGGCTTTTAAATGTGGTTGGTGGAGATTTCCCCTTGTCTTTTCACTTAAAATATGTTTGAACACCTTCCAATGTTTTAAATAGAATTTAATCCCCCATTCATTTCATCAAGTTTAAACCCACTTTAAAAAAAAAAAAAAATCAACCCTTGAGCCAACTCAGCTCAACACACCATCTAGGAATAAATCCTTTAAAATAATAATGACCAAAATATTCATGAACATTTTAGCAAAAATCAATGTTGATTCGTAGTGGGAGCCTGGAGGAGCTGCTCCATCTTCAAGTAGCCGAACCTAGTGACTGGGGAGTTTGGATCCCGGGGCACTGCTTGAGAGGCCAACTTGATCTGTGTGCACTTGTCAGAGCTGAAGGGGCTCTGGGTCACCTGGATTGGTGGTGCACATGACAGCCGTGAAAGGGTGCTAACACTCTCAGTGAGCAGCCTAGCTGTTAGTTAAAACTGTGTTCCCTCCCAGCGGAGCGGTGTCTTCAAGACACTTTTACAGTCTTTGCCCATGTTGAATGCACAGGCCCCACACAATACATTACTATGCAAATGTAGCTGACCAGGACCTGGGAGAGTGGGCTGCTGCCAAGGAGCCGCTAGTCAGGGTGGGAACGGGAGCTACAGAGGGTGAAGCCATGTACCAAGGCCCTTCATCCCAGACTTTCCTTCTGTGGCTCATTCAGGCAGAGGGGGGATAGCCAGGACCTTGGGAATACAGGCCTGGGCATCGGAAGCATGGCACGGCTTGATTGCCACTGTCCTTTAGAGTGGCTGGATCGGCTCTTAGCCTTCACACATTTGTATTTGTGGCATAGTAGAAACTCCTAGTGCTGAAATGCAAATTAAGAACGGTGCCTAAGGTTTCCTTTTCTGCCTGCCAGTTTTATGTGCTTGGGTTTTCTCTTGTTACAGGTTTGTGTAAAACTCTCCTACTTACTTGAAAGTACTTTATAGTCTTATTTTCTAGGAGTTCAAATAAGTTCAATTAAAATGTTTTTTCACCAAGAGCATGCTAGGCAAGCACTCCACCACTGACTTCTCCCCCCCCCAACTAATTTATTTTTGTAGCAAATCAATTTGCCTCTTACAGAATCCATTAACAATGGTCTCTTTTACCTCTTACTTACTGAAAACAGTTTCATCCATTGGTCCAGAACTCTCAAGGGACATGGCTATTTTATAATAGTTTCTAGAAAGCATTCAACATTTGGCTATTGACAGTTCAAAATAAACTCAAAAGCTTAAATAGCGGGGGCCTGAGCCCATTCATGAACACAATCTTAATATTACTATTTACTAAGTTCAAATAAAATATGGATATTTTGATGATTTTTCTTAATATAAAATAACTAATTTAGACCATTCCTAATAATTGTCAGCATCACACTGTCTTGTGAGATGTCTGGGATCCACTATAGGATGGATAGATAGAATTATGCTTGCAAATGCCATAGTATCTTTATTCATATTTTACTTAGAGGGTTTTGACTCTGTAACTTTTTGTGTTGATGAGTTTCCTAAGTAGTAGCAATGAAAACACTGTAACCGTGTTCAGGGAAGATCTTTTCTACAGTTACCAGCTAAGGTAGCTGCCATAATCTTGGTGACATTTTCAGCAGTCACTCCAGGAAGCAAAAGGCTATGACTTCCCAGAGTTAGCTAAACAAAGGTCTTTGCTCAAACTCTGTTAAGCCTATCCTGTGGCATCTTCACAATTGTTGGTCAGCTAACTGCACACTGCTATTGTGGAATGTGCTTTAAATAATTTTGGGGACAGTTGTATTCATTTGATTATAGGGATTGTAAGCTGATTAATGTTACTTTAGGACCACAAATCACAGAAATATCCTTTTGCACCTGTACCTTCTGTGAATGCAAAAGTAATTAATGTATCTAATGTGTAATTAATGTATGCTCAGCAGAGGAAAGGTTGCTTTTAGTGGTTTCATTATTCTGGTTGCTTATTGGCATATGTTTTTTATGATGCAAATTGAAAAAGTCTAAAAATGATATTTGTTCATGTAAATAGTGTTTAGTGTGTGTTGACACCCAGAGTGTATCATTATGCCATGTAATAGCAGCTGCATTTAAAAACTCATTTTTCAAAAAAAAAAAAAAACTCATTTTTCTATGACAGTTCATTTATAACTTTTATCTTCCTGGGTGTGCCACCAAACCCTAGCATGTACATAATTTTAAAATGCTTCTGTGTTCCTACAATGTCTTTGCTGTTTTATTTCTGGGGATTTTAGACTAACCTTTTGTTTTTCTCCCAGAGAGATTCAATGTGTATTTGATGCCATCTCCTAACTTAGATGTACATGGCGAATGTGCCTTGCAGATTACATATGAGTACATCTGTCTTTGGGACATCCAGAATCCCAGAGTCAAACTCATCTCTTGGCCGCTAAGTGCCCTGCGGCGGTATGGACGTGACACCACGTGGTTCACTTTTGAGGCAGGGAGGTGAGTTCATGGCTTTTCATACATCCTTTTCCGGAATCTGCTTACCTTCTTCAGGTTTGGGTCATGGAGTTGAACCAGAAGTCTGCTTCGAAAAATTCATAAAACTGTGGTCTTATGGAAAGATTATAGCACGGTGTTCAGGCACCCTGAATCCTTCTCCTAGGGTTCATTCTGACACATTCCAGATTTGACATGAGTTTCCAATCCTTGATTTGATGATACGCCGCAAACGGAAGCTGAACCGGTAAACTATACCACAGTCTGGGTTAAGTTAATAGAGGCTATCTCGCTGTTGCTTGAGCAGCTGGCTTCCTAATTCAAGGTACACTATTCTACGTGAACTAACAGGGTAGAGCATACATGTGGGGACCTCTGACCCTTCTCAGGTTGCTGCTAGCTGACTGAGGTCCAGCTAAACTACTTACTACTTAACAAATGGCAGTTCTGGAAATACTCGATTCTGACACTTGCTTGTTGTTAGCTCACTGGGCCCCTTTAGGGCCCCCCTTGCCCCTGTTAGAGGCAAAGGTGGGAATGAAGAGAATTCAGTGCCATTTGGGCGAATCGTGGCCCACAAAGGGGTACTTCCGGCCAGGGCTTCAGTTCACCTCCTCACACATCATTCTTCCTCCCTATGGGTTTAGGTCCCTTATAAAGGCAGAACAAACAAATGAACAAAAACAAAAACAAAGCAAAGCAAAGCAAAAAGCAAGCAAACAAAAAATGACTCAAGTTTTAAGAAATACAAGCTCATCAAACTAGTCAACATTCTAGGACACAATAGAGAGACCTTCACAGACCCCCATCCTAAACAGAAGAACTGTGGTTGATGGCTCCTGGGAGAGGTAGAATTAGTTTCCTTTAACAGTGTAGTTTCTTACACCCAGGAGCACGTAAAGAGCATAGATGGGATAATGGGTTATTTGTTATTAAAAAAAAAATCAAAACCAGCAACAGAAAACAAAAACAAAAACAAAAACAAAAAACAACCAAGCCAAAAAAGGAAAGAGAAAAAAACAGGTTGAAGAGACAAAGTTGAGTGGCAGGTAGGGGGATAGGTAGCTGGGGATGAATCTGGAGGAATGGAAGTTAGCATGATCAGAATACATAAAATAGAATTCTTGAAGAATTTATAAAACTATTATATTAAAATGAGACATAAACCCATCTGTACTGTCTTAAAATTACTCTGAAGCTGTAACAATCAGGTTACAGTATTTAAGATGGTTGGTTAAAGTTGATAGTTATTTTATAGGAAGTGATGCTAATTTAAAGAGAGTAAAAAAACAGAAGTTCTGAACACTACCCAAGCCTCTAACTCAGGTCAATAGATGAGTCAATCAGTCAATCAGTTTACCTCATTTTAGACAGAGCTGGGGTAGTTAACATTTACTTTTTGGAAATACAAATCAATTTAATATTTTCACAACACTCTAAAAAGTTTTAAAAAGTGATTTTCTTTCATATGTAGTTATGTAATTCTTTCTGTTTTTTTCTTTTTCCTTTTCCTTTTTTGTTTTTTGTTTTTTGTTTAGTGGTTAGTTTTCTTGTTTTTGGAATGGTGTATCATGTAGTAACCCAGGCTACCCTGAAGCTTGCCTTCAACTCCCAAGTAACAACTAGACAGATGTGCACCACACATCTGGGCTTTTTTACTGTCGAGCTATAGAAGGCAGCTGGCTACTCTCCTGGACAACAAAAGGACATGACATTAAAAGACAGAACCTTCACAGTTAGTTTTGCCCTACTCCTTTATCTCAATGACCAATTTACTGTTCATAAAGGGAAATCCTTGTGAAAAACGGAGAACTTGCTTGGTTGCATTGGTATGCTCCCTCATGTGGGTCTCTTTAGCTTCTGTTAGGACTTTTGAAGCAGGGTGAGGGCTTGTAGAACAGAAAGTGAGACACAAGGTAATGCTACTACTTCATATTTTCTCTGAAATGCAAATGAAGATGGATTTTCATCATCACTATCAGGATGCTAGACAATAAGATCATTTGTGTCCCCAAGTGTGACACTTCCTGTCTGCCTTATTTTGTTAGTAAAGGTAATTTCCTCCTTGGTTATTTTTGGATATCTCCAAAGCAAGGCAGGGCGGTGTCATAATAACTAATAGTATAACCCGCTCACTCACTTGAAGAAGCAAGCAGACAAGAGGCCCCCACCAGGCACACTGTTTTCACAGCGTGACATAACATTTTGTTTCTTCTTTGAACTGGATCTGGGAACAATGGGAGCTAAGCTTCTAGGGCTACCTGCACACCGGATTACAGAACCCTCATCTCTTAGGGGTGCATTTAGGATTAAATAAAGGCACAAGGGAGAATTCCTGAGATGGAGTGTGTCTGGAAAGTAGTATGTAGTAGAGTGACAAAGCAAAGAATCCACTGTTCTGACTTAGGCTCTGGAAGTAGCGATGACTTCAGGCGTGGCTTGATTCAGTGCTCAGTTGACAAAACTTGGTTTCATTGGAGTGTCTTGTCTCTTCTAGCTTGTCTACTTCCTGGATGTCTTGATCACTTCCAGGAGCTTTCAAGGCTCCCCATACATCAGCCAATGGGAGACAGATGGGCAACATAGAGCATGTAGACCGTTACAGTCAACATGAGATTCAGCTCTCTACCGAACACTTCACTCAAATCTCATAGGATGGGAACAGAATGGGGACATCTCCCAGGGCATAGAGTGGGCCTGTTGCCTTTGAAAGGGGAAAGATGCAAGGTTTCACATCTACAAAGTGTGTCCATCTTAGCGTGTGCTTGCTCCGAGTAAAAAGGGCTATTAGGGGTTACATTGTTCATGTGTGTGTCTGTGGTAGTGTGTGTGCTTGAGATCAGAAGCCTTTGGAGGCCAGAAGAGGGCATCAGATCCCCTGCAGCTGGAGTAATGTGGTTGTGAGTGGCCTGAGGTGGGCACAAGGGACCAACCTCCAGTCTTCTTAAAGAGCACAAAGCATTCTTACCCTCCGGGCCATCTCTGCAGCCCCTGTATCCTGTCAGCAACCACTCTCATCAGCATACACCTCCTTACTTATGAAGGAAGCTACCTCAGCATATTCAAGGAAGGCCTCCATCAGTAAGCCACAGGCTTATGAAGACACTGCTGATCTGATAGTCTCCCTAAACTGTGTGCTAGTGCCTAAATGTCCTTAGCTTGACCGGAGTTCCCAGAGGTCCCATTTGCTCTTTTCTTTTGTAATCTGGGCACATGTAACTGGAGCCAGCTACCTTTTCTCAGGTAGGGGAGTGGGTAGGGCTTAGCCGTTTAGGCCTTTCTAAGTGTATTTCTGCCTTTAGCCTCCTAGGATAAGAAGTTCTAACTCTATTGCCATGTTTGTCTGTTTGTTTTTCCCTTGAAGAAATTCAGAAATGAAGCATAAAACTTGTAATAAACCACAACTGTACAAAGATTTGTCCCTGGCAATGAAAAGTAATAATTACGTTATTCTGGATGCCTAGAGAGATATTGCTCCTTTTGTTTGAGGGGTCTGTCTGGAGTCTGCTGCTTGTTTGTGCTTCAGAGCCCTGACATCTCACTTTTCCAAGTCACCCTGTCAGAGAGGCTAGAGTTTTCTGTGGGAAGATCCAACTGGCAGGCCGATCTCCAGGCAGTTGCGCTCCCATGGAACTTTTCCAGAAGAGTTATTGTTTGGAGAAGTGTGGCAGGTGTCCAGTGAGCTTCTCTTTTATGTTTCAAGCTGGCTGCTGGGTTCACATACTTCAGTGTCCAGCTCTGTCTCACCTCTGACTGATTTAAATTAATACCCTGGGTTTTGCCTCTGCAGGAGTGAGAGAGGCCCAGGAAACGTTTGGCAGAACCTGTTAAATAATTTCCACACATGAATGCCTTTCTTTGCTGACCAGAGAGGGAGAGTCTCTCTTGTACCTTTGGCATCATTTAAAAAGAAATTTAGGTATGCCAAGAAAGATGAGAACTTGAATTCCACGCACAAATGCTTCCTTAAATTTATGCAAAGAGTTTTTGCTTGGGATGTTAAGGTCATCTGAACAGTCTTGGAAAAAAAAGTAACAGCTTTTCACATAGTTCACCCTGAGTGCAGGCTAACTGGTGAGGTAACTTTGTAGTGAAGTAGGACTCTTCTAACCTAAGAGTCCATGAGTGAAGGGAAAGCTGTACTGCTGTCTCCTGCATATTCCTGACTTGTGCTTTTGGTTCCAAGCCATTGAACAATTGTAGTGAGATGTTCACTTTGTCTGCCCTTGTGGCACAGACCACGCCCACTGGGGGTGGAGACAGGGGCGGACTTTACCTGGGCTAACTAAGTCTGAGGAGGGGGTTCTGGGAGCTCTCTTGCTTGCAGGACAGGGACAGGAGAATATCCAGAGGCATCCTTGGGACCGGGAACTGGCTGATGTTCATCTGTCTATGTTGTAAGTTATTTCTCCCTGAATAAACATCTATTCGGCCTATTTGTTTCTCCTGATCCTTATTAAATGTAAATAAACAGTCTCCAATATCCAAATGCTTTAGAGACAGTTACTTCCTTATTATCAAGGAAGAAAAAGTAAGCGGGCAGGCCATCCTCCTTTCTCACTAAGTTGAGTAGAGAAATCTTCACAAAATGCTGCTTCTCACACAGACTTACTCAGGAGAAAGGGATTCCTCTTCATCCACCAGCAAATGGGAAAGAGACTGTCCTGGTTTTCCTTTTGTTGTGATAAAATGGGCTGACCAAAAAGTCATCCCCAAGTCTTCACTCACTTCTCATCCCAAGTATGAGTTCATGCCAAGGTCTGGTGTCTTTACCCGGACATGATCCATCCCCACAATCTTTAGTCATACTCGCATCCCTGATGTCTTTCTTGGATGTGGTGCCCACCTTCCCTCCTAGATAAAGATGCATTTTGAGATGTCATTCCAAGAACATCCAAGGTAAAAAAAACCAATGGATAAAGAGAAAGGAGGAAGGGAGTCACAAGATATCAAAATGCCTCCCTGCTCTTGCATGCATGAACCCCTGGGGGAGTTTTTCTCTTGTGTTTTCTAAAGAGCTGACCAGCCTGCACTGTGCTGGATTATATAAAGCCATTAGTCTGTCTGATGTGTTTTTATTTTTATTGCCTTGGGCCCTTCACCCATTATACTGTTTTCTCAAACCCTATAGTAACATTTTAATGTGTAGAGAACATTTAATGTGTAGCTCCTTATGAAACAGCTCCAAGCCAATCAGTCAGGCAAAGCAAGTAGGCCGAAGGGAATTGTGTGAGAAGGCCAGGTTTTGTCCATCCCCCACTCTGTGGTACAGCTAAAGGGCACACTTTCTTAAGTAAACCCCAACATTTAAAACAGAAGTAACATGTCTGTTCTGTTAAGAGGTCTTTCATGAATCTTATCTCTGTATTGCACAGTGGGGAACCTCTTGGCTATCTCTGATAGATCAAGCCATTTTAGCCCTTCTAGAAGAAAATATAAATAATGAATGAAACAGATTGCTGACTTCTCAATTCAGCCAACTTTACATAGCAATCAGGATTTCTTACTTGTCTTAAACGATGCAAAGCAGCTATAACATTGGATTCCTACTGCAGGACTAGCCTACTGCAGGCTAAAAATCTTTAAAAATGAAACTTACTCCCCACTAACCACATCTCCCCCATCTCTGTGCCTGAGGGGGTCTGAATAGAAAGTCTGTTTCTCTACACACCTGTAGACTCAGCGCTCATTGTGACACACACCTGTAGACCCAGCACTCATTAGGACACTCATCTGTAGACCCAGCACTCATTGTGTGTGACACACACCTGTAGACCCAGCACTCAGGTGGTGAGGGCGGGTCGGTCAGCAGTTTAAGCCCCTCCTGGGGTACATACTGGGCTGGAGGACCTAACAGGATGATGTCACCCTATCTCAAAACAAACAAGTAAAACTCTAGGGTATATCCTAAGGGTGATTCTGTTAAGAGCTGTTCTTGTCAGTTAGTGAACTGCTGCCCTGCAAGTATCAGGGGGAAACATTAGCTTGTGAAAGGTTTATGATCAACCCATATAGCAATAGATGAATGCTTTTGATCATAATCTAGGCCGCATTTCTTACTGTGAGTTTTAGTCAAAGCAAAACAAGCTTTCAAAGGCCCCCGGGATTAAAAAGTATGCCTGCAAACTTGGGTATCCTTCAACCATCTTCTAGACAGTTGAGTAACAGGTGCCTTCTTGCCCTCAAGGGACAGGACAATCATTTAAGGAAGTCAATGAACAATGACCTTTATACTAGGAGAAACAGCAGGTGACTTAAAGAGCCAGTTAAGGTTAATTCTTCCTCTTAATAAATTCATGTACTTTGGGGGGGAGGGGAGAGATGTGGAAAAATCCCAAAGCCCTGAGGAACGTGGTGCAAGGAAGTAGAAACAGGTTACGTGGTGACTTGCGTCCAAAGGAGGCCAGAGCAGGACTTACAATGGCACGAGATGTCTTCAGGAAACAAACCTAACTGAGGAAAGTTTTGAAACCCAGCTTCAGTGCTTTTTGGGATGGGTACAACTTAATGATTAACATCCCATAATGATCATGGAAACCAAGCTGTCTTTCTCCCCTTTCCCAGCATTCCTTTCTCCCTTTCCTCATAAATCCATATTCGTGAAATTTAAGCTAAGCAGTGTCAACCATTGTTCAGGTCTCACCACATGGTTGTGGTAGTGTGCTCAGCTGTGGAAAACTAGACTGGGGCACATCTTTCTTGTTTTATGGCATTAATTGAACCTGCTGGGCAAGAATGCAAGCAGTGGCTTGAGCTGGAAACCTCCTCAGCTTCTTTGTCCTGTCATGCAGTTTTTCAGAGATGAGCAAAGCTCAAGCATTAATTAAGTAAGGCAGTGTTCGTGCTACTAGCAAGAAATTAGGAGGTGGGAAGAGTGGGATTCAGCTAGTTATTGCCTTTAGGACAAACAAACAAATGCAACCCCTTACCATTCTCATGTGCGTCATATTAGAATTCTTTTCAGCGTTACTGCATATGCTTTTATTCACATTCCTGAAAGTATTGGTAGTGGTGGCCGGAGAGAAGGCTCGGCAGTTAGGAGTGCTGGCTGCCTGCACAGACGACTCAGGTTTGGTTCTCAGCACCCACATGATGGCTCATAACAGTCCTTACCTCCAGTGCCAAGGGGGGGCGGTGTCCTCTCCTGATCTCCTAGGGCACCAGTCATGCATGGGAAGCACAGAGACATACATGGGAATAAAACACCCACACATGTAAAACACATGTTTAATATTAAAAAACTTTCGGTAATTAAATATGTTTGTATAGGCATACATTTACGCACTAAGACATATACAATGAAAAGGAATTTGTTTTGTTCTTGTGCAACAGAAACAAATAAAAGATCCAGAGACTGGTATTGGAGGTTAAGCTTCAAGCTGAAGCTTAGAGAAGCAAAGCAGCCTGTCACTAGCTCTTACTTCCACTTCAGGCTGAAAGGGCTGATCCTGTCTCCACAAGCTCTCACCAAGCCTCAGATGGCAGCCTCTCCTCAGTGTGGCTGGAGAAAGAATGCCTCCTATTGTCAGTGTGACTTAAACATGAATGTGTCATACTGACTCTTGCTCCTGTCTTTTATGCCCCTCTAGTGCTGGGATTAAAGGCGTGTGATCTGTTACTCTTTTAGACTGATTCACTCTTATGTAGATCTGGGTGGCCTTGAGCACACAGACACCCAGCTATCTCTTAATCCTGAGTCCCAGGATTAAAGGTGCCTATCACCACCTCTTAGCTTCCTACTGCTGGAATTAAAGGTGTGTGCCTGGCTTTTTAGGCTTGTGGCTGACTTTGGTTTCTGAATCCTCAGTCAAGCTTTAATAAATCATAAATATCACTATATCACCACACTACATTCTTGTCTGGATTTTTGTGGTCTGGGTCAGATATACCCTTCTTCTCAATGTTTCCAAACCTATATGTGTTGTTTCCTTGCAGAATTTCCCATGTGTCCCACACATTAACTGAGCAGAGCCATGCTCTTAAGGAAAGATGATGGGTTGCATTTTGTCCAGCATGTTGGCAGGAACCAGAACCAACATTTGATGTGGGGTTTTGGAAATGAGAGAATGCTTAGGGCTGTCATCTGTGGTGCAGTTAGAATAACAACGAAGAAAGACAGAACCCTCATCTTCACCTTGGGGCTTACCACCCCCCATGGTGATTTTCCTCTGCAAGACTCTTCCTGGAGTGGGAAGGGGATCAGTGCCCCACGGTCCCCTGGAGTGTGGGCTTGTACTGAGAATGGAGAAACGGTGCTTATCTTCTACTTCACTTTATAATAAAAAGCAAAACAAAACACCACTCAGTACTTATCAGCCAGGAGTGTTAGTTCCCTGCCCACTGTTGCAATAATTAATTGGACACTGACCATTTTGCTCTAGTAATTTTATTTAGCAACACGAGCTCTAATCACATTAAGAATAAATGGACTGGAGCTCTCTTGGTACATTGCCAGGTGTGGTGGCATTCCTGTAAGCAATCCCAGCACTCAGGAGGCAAACACAGAGGGGCTGTTGCAAGTTCGAGGTCAACTTGGGTTGTTTAGAGTTCTAGACCAGTAAGGGCGACATAGTAAGACCCTGTGTCAAAAATAAGAGAACAAAATCTCGCCATGTTAACATTGCTGGATTTTCAGAAGTTTCTTGCTTTTGTTTTCACAGGATGTGTGAAACTGGTGAAGGGCTATTTATCTTTCAAACACGAGACGGCGAGGCCATCTACCAGAAGGTGCATTCTGCTGCCTTGGCCATAGCTGAGCAGCATGAGCGCTTGCTGCAGAGTGTGAAAAATTCAATGGTATGTTTGGAATGTCTTCTTTCTGCCCAGGGTGCACCACTATATGTTGTGGTCTGGGAATGTACTTTCTGAACAACAAGCCTTCCTTTACGTAAGCAGTTGGTTTGTTTCTTTACTTAGCATTGTAGGACGCAGACTGAACACTCTCCTTAGAATTCCCATCATGATCAACTGATAAGCTATCGACCCATGCACTCATTTACTTTATCGTTTATTATTATGCATGGGCATCTGCAATTGTTGTGTACAGTCCGGAGGATGCAACTGACTGTTCAAATGGGTGAGCTTATTGGGCATGTAGCAAGCATTAAGTAAAAAGAGAAGAAACAGGAAGTAGGTAGAGAGAAGCAGCAAGTAGGGTGGCAGAGTGTCAAGTCAGCTACTTACAGCGTCAACAGAGAAGGCTGGGCAGCCTGACTGAACGCAAGCAGAGGTCGTCAAATTTCGGCTTACAACTTGCAATAGAAATCACTTGGGAAATCCCATTTGATAATTCCAGTTGAGCTTTCCCTCTCCATGGCTGAGTTCCTGTTCCTGCTCCTACCTCAGGCATTTTTACATCAGGAATAAACAGTAGTGAGGGCTGTTGGGAATGCTCTGCCTTCTAGCCGTTCTCAAGAACACAATGTACCCTTAGCTGCTCGCTGTTTCCGTCTCTGCACAAGAGAATCAGGAGGTCACCCGACAGGGTGTTTTAGAGGACAGCTTTGAGATAAACACGTGTGGGGCTGAAGAGGATGGGACGTTTCAGTAAGCTTAAACAGCGGGTGACAGTTCAATGTAATCTATATGACAACCTTAACACTGACATGAGTGTGTATCAGCATCCACACACTCAGCTACGTGGCTTGCCTGCCTCTGCATATGTGTGCTTATCTTTATCAGAAGTTAGTGATTCCAGCCAACAAATGTGCCTAGGAAATACAAGTGGCAAAAGGCTGAGGGAAACGGGAGAAATACTCCAGGCTCAAATGAAGGATTTGAGTTCATGTACGATAGTGTGCAGTGACTACCTGAGGGATGAATTGCAATTCAACTGCAGTATTTTCTGAGACAAAGAAAGCCTTAGACAGCACACATGGCCACACCTCTGCTATTGTATGAAGATGTATGAGCATACACACATGTGTTTGGAACACCTCTCTTTTGCAATGTATGCTGCTAGACCCTCTGACTTGAGGAAACTATTAGTTTCAGTTATCTTATAGAAGGGAAAGAAATATTTTTAGAAATCTTTAAGATTTTTATTTATCTGGTTCATTTAGTTTTTAAATTTTATTTATTTGTTCGTTTGTTTGTTTTTGATGAAGTGCTGCCTGTCCCAGAACTCATTATGTAGACCAGGCTAGCCTCCAACCCACAGAAATCCACCTGCCTCTGTCTTCAAAATTCTGGGATTAAAGGGAAAGGCTGCCTCTTTTATTTTTATTTTAAAATTATGTGTCCAAGTATGTGTTTCTGCATGTGGGTGCATGCATATGAGCATAGCAGGTACCTATGGACACCAGGAGAGGGCATCAGATACCCTGGAGCAGGCGTTATAGGCAATTATGAATAGCCCAACGTAGTTGCTGAGTGAGAGGAACTGGATTCCAGTCCTCTACAAGAGAAGTACAACCTCTTAGCTCTTCTGCCACCTCTTCAGACCCAAATATCAAGAAATCTTAACTACAAACCTGAAGGATAAACAAAAAATGCTACACACACACACACACACACACACACACACACACACGCACGCACGCACGCACGCACGCACGCACGCACGCACGCACACACACACCAAAACATAAACCAAGAAGAGCTCCTTTGGCATGATAAGGTTAAGGGAATTTGATTACACTTTGAAAAGGTGTATGTGACCTTTGTTTTGGGAGTGTCTTTCGTGGGACCAGAACTCACTGCTGAAAGAGGGGAGAGAGCCAGGGCTGAGTTGCACACTCTGGACCAAGGGTTGGATGTACGATCATGATTGCATTTCCGAGGTGGCTGGGGAATACCACCTGTGAGGTGGGAAGTAAGGGGGTGGGAGCTGTGTGGGGGTGATATTCCTCACACGTGAGTAAACATTATTCTCGTGTAGGAATGAGGGTGTTTCTGGATGAGATGATATTTTAATTGGTAATCTGAGGAAGGAAATTTGCATTCTGGGGTGTTAGAGAGCTTTGTTCTACTGGTTGGAGGCCTGGACAGTGCAAATGGAGAATGAATTCACAGTCTTTGCTGGATGGTATTGAACATGCGCACTGATCTTTTGCTATCCTGAAACTTAGACTTGAAGTGACCCCATCAGTGCTTCTGATGTCAGACTTCATATTACAGCTCAAGACCCTTCACCTTCATTAAGTCTCTCTCCTCCTGCCCTCTCCCTTCCTCCTTCCCTTCCCTCCACCTGCCCTTCTCTCCCTCCCCTCTCTTCATCTCCCCTTCCTTCCCTTCCCTCTCTCTACCTCCCCCTTCCCACCTCATCTCCCCATCTCCCCTTCCTCCCTCCTTTCTTTCCCCCTCCCTCTGCTCTCCTTCCCTCCCACACCCTCTCTCCATCCCCTCCTCCCTCCATCCCCTCCCCCCTCCCACACCCTCTCTCCATCCCCTCCCCCCTCCCACACCCTCCCTCCATCCCCTCCCCCCTCCCACACCCTCTCTCCATCCCCTCCCCCCTCCCACACCCTCTCTCCATCTCCTCTTCCCTTCTCTCCCTTTACCCCTCCCTCCCTGCCTCCCTCCCCCCCCCCGAATAATCTAACCAGCATGGAGTAGACACAGATAATGCAGACACAGACCATTATGTCATTGTGCCCGTGGCTAAACCTAGCTCCAACAGCAGCACTACAGCACAGCTTGGTGGACTATAGCAAAGCTCTACATTCTTCCAAGCTCCAGTTTTCTGTTTCACAAAAAGAGAAAAGTAGTTAAAAGTTAGGTTTACGTGGCATCTGCTCACAATGCCTTCCACACAGTCCACTGTTGAGGAGATCCATTGCCTTAGGCTGATCTCAACAACAGCTTCATCTCCCACCATTCATCTGTCTGTCTGTCAGTATCTGAGCAGAGGCAACCTAAAGATAGCATTTGGAAGGAGAGTGATGAAATGGGATGGTTTAGATCACAAACAATTGTAAGGTTTGGCAGGAAGAACCACGTTTGGTACAAAATCCGTGCATCATTGAAGTACTTCAGACAAAGGAACATTGACCAGAGACTCCAAGGCCTCTTGCTTCTGCCACACAACAAGATACCCATTGCCAGCTTTGAGTGTGGAGCTTCCGGTGTTTTAACCTGTAGGCATACAACAACAGAATAGCATTGAGCACATGACTTACAGTTAGCTTTTAAAAAGAGAACATGTAAGTTCACTGGGATGCCAGGCTTTCTCCACTGCACATGGCTCTACATGGAGTCCGGGGATTCAAACTCAGGTCCTTCTGAGTTTACATAACAAGTGCTCACTGAACCATCTCCCCAGCCCACAACTGTCTTTTTGAAGAAGCCTCCATGTTTTTATATAGCAAGAACAGCATCCATGTTTTTATATAGCAAGCATCTGCCACATAGTTTTATAGTACCACACTCTACAGATATTCCATTAATTTTTAAAACCATGCTTTAGGGCCTGGAGAGATGGCTTGATAGTTGAGAGCATTGGCTGCTCTTCCGGAGGTCCTGGTTTCTATTCCCAGCATCACACAGTGGTCACAACTACCCGTGACTCCAGATCCAGGGGATTTGATGTCCTCTTCTGGTCACAATGGGTACCAGCATGCAAATGGTGCCCAGACGCACATGCAGGTGAAAACCCTGTCCCTGTGAAATAAAATAAGCCCTTGTGAAGCTGTGGTTTAGTGCAGCACTCCATCTGTAAGCGCTGGTGGCCGCTTAGTGTTGACTCTTACAGTTTAAACACTGAATCAAAGGCTGAATTCTTTAACATTTGATTTTGATTCCAAATGATCTCCCCATGAAAAACAGCATGTGACTATCTGTCTATCCTTATATTTTACCAAGTCTATGTATGGCAGTAAGGATAATTCAATGGATGGACAGAAGGATAAAGGACAGAGGGAGAAACAGCATCGAAGCAGAATGCAAGTTGCTTCAGCCTAAGCGGGAAGCATGTGGCTGCCCATATTTGCCTGATTTCCCATTAGATGCTTGTCAGATCCTAAGGAAGTTTCCGTGAGATTACCATATTTGAAAAGCCTTAATTAGCATAAATCAGTTCTGGAAATGCAGACTGGGATATACTCGTGCATGTTTTCCCATTTTCTGTCTCCTCGTTATTTCCACTAAGATTAATCAGGGATATGAGTAATTCATTCAGATCACCCCTCTGAAATTTTATCTAGAAAATAATGTCATTTGCCCTTAATTTGCTGTGCACTCCATGAGTTCTAGGAAAGACGTGCTATTGCAAAGCAAGCACTTCCTGTTTCTGATGAAATGAGTAAGCATCCAAATAGGATCTGAGTGACACTGCAGTTAGCTGGGGATTTCGGAAAGCCAAACACTAGTGTATTTTAATCAGAACCTGATTAGGGGAGGAAAGACATCCCGTGATACAGTGGGCCACAGCGAGACCATGCCTGGCCTGGGCTTAGGGTTTTGGTTTTCTGTGCGGAAGTTGGAGGCTCACAGAACCAGTACTTCTCTCTCCCAGGAATCATCTTTGCCCCAATTCTGGTCCCCTTCTGAAGAGCCCAAGGTTATAACTGGGAGGTGTGGTGACAATCACCTATAGCCTTAGCCTCTTTGTTAGGAAATCTCAACTCTCTGATGTAAAGCCCAGCAACAGAGGGATGCCACACCGTGGGGCCACTGGGGACCTACTCTAGCTGGAAACTGCAGCTTTGAGTAGAGTGACTGGATCATCTCAGTGACCCTGGAGCCCAGAGTTTGTCAAGAGGAGACTGGGTTGGATGGCAGTAACAGATACTGTGCTAGGCTGACTTAGGACTCTCCAGTGATAACCCGTGCCTTAAAACCCCAAACTGGTCATTTAC